GGAGCATTACAGGCAGCTTCACCAATGCTCTGTCTTTGGGAAACCCATAATGCTTTGTAAATCCTGTATTATAGGTGTAATTAACAAGGCCTTGAAACATTTTGATGCAGATAGGGAGAATCTTGCCATCAATTGTTTATTAAGATCTGGAATTTAGATCTGGCATGGCAAAACACTTTTTTGATTTTTTTTTTTAGAGTTAACTACAGAGAATACAGACATCTCCTGGCTTTTATCTTTGCTATTGATGAGATAAACAGCAGTCCTGATATTCTGCCCAATGTGACTCTGGGATATCATGTGTATGATTCTTGTGGAAATGTGAATAAAGCCACAAAAGATGTTCTGCAGATCTTGTCTGGACATTCCAAGACAGTGCCAAATTATTCCTGTATGGTGTGGGGTACAGTGGCTGGTTTCATCGGTGACCTCAAATCAGATACCACTCTCCAAATGGCACAGCTCTTACATCTATATGGTTACACCCAGGTAAGATTTTCAGACATTGAGCAGGGAATGTTTCGAGATTGTAAAATCAAAGCTCACATTTCATAACTGGTAAGATATTTAGAGGACTTTTGTTAACATTTCAGAAAAAAATTGTGCTCTGGAAATGACTGGATCTCTTAGACAGCAATGCCAGGTAAATCCATTAATACATTCTATAAAGTCACTGTCACTCAAATTATCTTTAAACATTTTATACCTGCAAAGAAGTAAAATAATATCTACTGTATGTTGCTTGTTGCCCATGCCGATAAAACCCACTCTGGTGATGAGTAATCCACTGCTGAACTTATTTCCAAGACAGATACTACTGGGAGTTCGGTGGTTCCTACTGCTGACCTTGACTCACTATAGGATACATGAGAGATATATGTTAAAGTAGGTAGCACTGAGCACCTAGGAGAGACAAGAGATTGACAGTCCTGGAAGAAACATCAGCAGTGGAGTACTTAGCATTGGCGTGGTTTTTAGTAAAGTGTACAGGAGGGTTAAATGTCCCTTTCCTTCTTTACAGGTATGGCATTTTTTTAAAGACAATAGAAGTGAGTGACTTCACCTAATGCTCCAAAAGGAGGTAATTAGAAGAAATGTTGTAGACTTTGTTGGTTAGACTGTATGTACCTGCAGCAACCACCAATGCATTATTGATTTGGCCAAACATGGGCTGTTTTGATGGGCAAAGGTGTTAAAATTATAGGTAAGAGCTCACCACGAGTCCCACACACATTCATATTGACCCATCACTATGATGGGTGGCCTCACTGGCCAAAAGCAATGTTTAAAATTTAGATAGAGGCTGGGAAAGATTCATAGTTCATAGAAAGTGTTGGAACTTAACCTATCTGAAGAAACTAGGCTTTGTTAGCTGATACATAAAAGTGATCAGTAAATATTCCATTGGGGAGATACAGGGCTATTCACAAAGCTAGCCAAAGGCTTGGCGGCATTCGGCTATTCACTCGCTGCCGTTCGGCCCCTATGAGAATAGGCTGAACAGCACTGAGTAGCCTGCTGGCTGTTCAGTTCAGCCGATCTACATGTTGGATCAGCTGAGTCAAACTCCTTCTTCTCTTCGGCTCAGTCAAACATGCTGAGCATGTTCGGCTGAAAATAAGCCAGCTGAAGCAAGGCAATGTACGGCTGATTTCTGCCGATGTTCGGCTGAAATCAGCTGTACAAGCCTGAAGTGAATAGCCAAACAGCGTTCGGCTCACTTTACTTTGGGTGGGTTATTCATTCAGCTGCCTTTGGCAGCTGAATGAATAACCCTCTTAATTTATTTCCTTGCTTAACCTCTTCACTCAATTCTGCAAGTAGTTCTAATTTACTATCACTGTTTATTTTATTATAATTTTTTAATTTCATGTTTCAAACTTTATCATACCCGGGATGTCTACTGGACTCTTGTTTGGACAGATTTAGGTGAGTTATTCCTAAGATTTACTAAGAATTACAGGTCTACAATACATAACACCAAATTTCCATGCAAAAAATTGTACCGCTTTTGGCACAAAATTCCTGACATAATCATACCACCAGGGAGGTTAAATAAACCTGACAAGGTGCATGTTATGTCAAACCGTGTTTCCTTGTTTTGAGTAGAGTACAGAATGGTTAGAACCCTGAATGGTTTTTACTATTGTTCAGGGCTCCTTCCTGTCCTGCTGGCAATCTTTACCAATACACTAAGTGATGGGAACTCTCCAACAGCAACATGGACAAAAATAAAAATGATTGTCTTCAGTAGAGTATGGATGCTTGCTCCTCTGTCAGGTTTGTATTTCTGTTTTGTGTCCCTGATGCTGATTTGCCTTTACTTCCTGCCTGTTGAACTTTTTTAGGATAACTCTGTAACAGAACCCCAGAGAGCAGAATTTCTAAACTTTCTCCTCAAAAACGAAAACCAGAAACAAGTTTGACATACATTTTAATGTAGCAACCATTTTTCTTTATTTCTAGATTAGTTATGGAGCTAGATATCCTTTACTATGTGACCGTCACAGTCTAAAACTTCACACTCAGCCTTGTCTTGTTTCAAAAACACCTCACAGACAGCAGGCTGGCTTCCTGTGCAGTTTGAGCACTCCCAGAAGGTGGGTTAACCCTTTCCAGGCCCGAATGCATCTAGCCAGAGTTGGAGGCTCTTTCCCACCCAATATCTCTCCGAGCCTCCGAATTCTGTATCCCATTTCACAACTAAAAACCATGGGAAGATTGCATAGCAGTTTCCCTTAAAAAAACTCACCACGGAACCCCTTACCCTGCATTGTTGAGAACTTCTGACAAAGTTAAAGGGACCATGACCTAAATAGTGGGGAAATATATTGTCCATCAAAGATGCATTCCTGGAGTCCTGTACACCAGAAAAAAGTTTAACATACACTTTAATGTAGCAACCATTTGTTCTTTCTTTCTAGCTTAGTTATGGAGCTAGAGATACTTTACTAAGTGACAGAAAGATGTTTCCAAACCTTTTCCGGACAGTTCCAGATAATGAGATGCAATATGTGGCCATAGTGAAGTTACTGAAAAGGTTGAAGTGGAACTGGGTTGGAATCATTACATCTGATGATGAATATGGAGAGAGGGAGATCCGACAACTCAGCGAACAGTTAACTAATCATGGAATTTGTATTGAATTTAAGATCATGGTATCTGTTAAGAATTATAGGAAAATCCCTCTAGATCTTCAGACATCAACTACTGAAGTTCTTATTATTTGTGGCTCAATTAGCAGAACTTATTACACGTTTTTGATGTGCAGCGTTCCTTATCACATGGATAAAACATTTATAATTCCTGATTCTTGGTCAATGGATGAAGATTTATTTGTGATCAGTAACTGCAGTTTGGTGTTTTCAAGTCCCGATTCCTCTATAGTGAGAATGGAGGAATATGTCAATAGCATTACCCTCTCAAGCCGCCCGGATGACCCAATGCAGGAAGATATCCTCATAACTGAATACCGCTGCTTTTCAAAAAATCCGGAGAAGAACTTTATGATTCCATACACATTTGACGCTCCAGTTCGTAACTGCACTTTGGAGAGTATTAATTATGATTTAAGTAATCCTGATGATAGAACTCCCTATAGAGTGTTTCTTGCAGTCAACATATTGGCTCAAACTTTACATGACATTTACCTCTCTTTACAAATAAAAGAAAGGGGGGCTATGGTGAGGTTACCTGGCCTTGTTCATAAGGTGATTATATGCAATTTTATATACACCATTCCTTTGCTCATTCAGAGCAGTGTATGTGCAAAGGGGCCTACCAACCCTGATAAACTTACCTTGGCAGGGATACATTTCATATGGTTCCTCTCCTTTTATTTAAACACTAAAACATAAAAGACCGTAATGTATAGATTCACCTTCTTAAATAAAACACTGTTGCTAAAATTACACACTCTAACATATAACCCCTTCCTTCGTTTGACATTATAAATTAGGGGGGCGTGGCTTGCTGGCGCGCTGCATGGACGCTTCTTGTTAGAGCTTCGTGCGGCGGCGGGCCTCGAGGCTACCTAAAGCGACAATCGGGTCTTACCCGAACCGCATCGGAACCCTCCTCGGCTTCCTCCGATCCCCAGGCATGAAGCGGCAGCAGAAACGGAGAGGGAAACGGCCGCAGAGACTCACTGACTTCTTCGGCCCTACAGGGCGGCGGCGTGGCCAAGATGGCGCCGGCTCCTCTGCCCCCGATCTCCGGCGGCCCCCATCTACAGGGCATAAGTCCAGCGGCGCTTCTGTGGGGACACAGCCGGCATCAGGCTCCTCTTCTGGCTCATCCCAGCCCGACTCTCCTGCAGACCGGAGCCCAGAGACAACCAGGCTAAGGATGTCAACCCCTGGAGATGACGAGAGGGAGGTAAGCCTGCTCAGTGCATCCCTGGAGGACACAAGGGAGCTGATTGCCCCTATTGATGCATTTCCCACAGCACACCAACCCATCTTAGATTCCACATTGAAGGACATGCTAGTATCACTAAGGAGTTCACTAAACTCGGATATCCAGTCTCTAATCACCAAATTCAAGTCCGACTTACAGCAAGTGGGCGATAGAGTGTCACATATAGAAGATAAGATGGGGGAATTTGCTACTACGTTCAACGACTTAGTCGATACCCACAATAACAGGGAGAATGACCATGAGTGGATGAAGGCCAAAATAGCAAACCTAGAAGATAGGTCTCGGCGCAACAATGTGAAAGTGCGTGGCATCCCTGAATCGGTCTCCCAATCCCACCTGATGTCGTATGTTCGCGACCTTATGCATGACATAATACCTGACACTCCTATGACGGAACTGGTCCTGGACCGCATACACCGCTTACCTAAACCACCAAACCTACCGGAGAAGCTACCCAGAGATGTGTTAATGTACACTTTTTCCACGTAAAAGAACACCTACTCAAGGCAGTGAGGGATACATCCAAACTTCCTGAAAGCTACTCCCACTTGCAATTTTACTCAGATCTATCACAACATACTATGTTGTTCCGGAAGAGGGTTGTGCCGGTCACTAAGGCGCTGCGTGACCACAAGATCCAGTATCGCTGGGGTTATCCGGCTAAACTCATAGGGGTCTATTCACGAAGCTGCCGAAGGATCTGGCCGTAGCTTCGGCCGATCCTTCGGCTAGCTTCGGCCCCAGGACCCCTTCGGTTCAGTAGAACCGAAGGGGTGCTGTACGGGCTATTCACAATAGCCCGTACAGCTCCCGATCATTGCCTGAGTGGCTCAGTCGAACCGATCGCATATGCATCGGCTAGGCTGAGCCGTGCAGAAAGCCGAAGCTGGCCGAGCGGCCGGCCATTGGCCGGCCGACAGCCTGCTTCTGACAGCTGGGCGGAGCCAGCCGTGATCTTACGGCTGGCTCCGGCCACTTTCAGAGAGATCAGCGTCCCTGGTTGCTAACCAGGGACACTGATCTCCAAACAGCTAACTCTCCCTGGCGCCTCAGGAGCCTCCCGCTCCCGGCCGCCAAGGAGAGAAACGATCCCAGATTGAAGCTGACCTGCACTACTACCTGATGTTTGCAAGCCTCCTGGCCCCGCTTGGCCACACTGTTCACCATGTGTGATACCTCCAATGCCGTGAGAAGTGCCAGCCACTGCACGTTGGTCCCCAGGCGGGACCTTTTTTTTATCCCCAAGTTCTGTTTTCCTGTTATTTTTCTGATTTATTTTTCCTTCCATGTGCCAAGTGCGAGATTGACCGCAGCTGCATATGCAGGACTCCCTGCCGGACCATGGCCTAAGCCGCTTCTACGTGATGCTGCACCATCGATGACCTACGTTTCTGACATTATAAATTAGAGATGCACTGATACCGATACTAGTAGCGGTATCGGTGTCGATACTGAGTATTTGGGTGAATACTCGTACTTGCCTAAATGCTCCGATACTTAACTCTGAATCCAGAACTTCCAGTTATAGGGAGATCTCCTTCTGATCGACAGTGCCGAGTGTCAGGGATACCGGCACAGGTGACCCCACACCTGCACAGGTACCCATACAGGCGGACCAAACACGTGTGACCACACGGACCAGGCAAGTATGGTATATATAAATATTTTAATAAACTTAGCAAGCTAACAGAAACAATCCACAACAGGCATAAACCAATAATGTAACCCCCAACACCTAGAACATACAATGGGTGTAACAACACAGGAAACAGGCCCCAGGGTACAAGATAGCATACAGGTATCAGGGTCTCAGGGTTCAGGCCAGAGGACTCAGACCACAGGGGAAGGCAACGGAATCCTGAGCCAAGGTCCAGACTGCAGGGAGGGTTTAAATACCCTCCCAGGAGCAACATCTAATGGGCTGATTCCTGGCAGCTGGGAGACACCCACAGGTGAGCACTGGAGCTGCAGGTACCAGCACCACCCAGTGGTGGTCTGGCACCTAGCAGCCCCTGGCTGCCTGGAGAATCCTGCAGGTGAGCCCAGGAACTGCAGGGCTCAGCTCCAGCGCCACCTGGAGGCGCTCTGGATCCTAACACCGAGGCAGCATGGAGCCGGGTTCCTTTCCAATCAGGAGGTGGGTTACGACCCGCCTCAGGGCTTCCTGATTGGCTAGGGAGCCGGCTTCACTTGTTGCTAGGCAGCCTGGCTTCCTAATCAATAGGAAGCCGGATGGGATGTCATGACTCACATCCTGGCTTTCTGATTGGTCAGGAAGCTAAGCTGCCTAGGAACAAATGAAGCTGGCTTCCGAGTCAATCAGGAACCTGGGAGGCAGGTTCATGATGGGCCACCCAGCTCCTTGTTGATTTGCTAGGTAGCCATCTTCACTTGTTGGTAGGCAGCCCGACTTCCTAACCAATGAGAAAGCTGGGTGGCACGTCTTGACTCTTGTCCCAGCTTCCTGATTGGTCAGGAAGCAACGCTGCCCAGCAACAAGTGAAACCGGCTATCTAGGCAATCAGGAAGCCAGGAGGTGGGTCATGATGTGCCGCACGGCTTCCTGATTAACTAGGAAGCTGGCTTCACTTGTTGCTAGGCAGTCTGGCTTCCTGACCAATCAGGAAGCCAAACAGCACTTCATGACACGCCGCCAGCCTCCTGATTAGTCAGTAAGCCAAGCAGCGATGGCAATTAAAGACAGTGTTCTTTTGCTACAACACCAGTTTCACAGGCAATCAGGAAGCCAGGTGACAGGTCATAATCCATCGCCCGACTTCCTGGTAATCGGGGAACACGGCACCAATACTTGGTATTGGCGAGTACCGAAAAAAAAATATTGGTACTCGTACTTGATACCGAAAAACCTATATGGGTGCATTCCTATTATACATATATGTGAGGTGCTAATAGCAGTTCCTGTTAGTTTCAATACTGTAATATGTCTGCTGAACTATGAAGGGAAATGAATAAATGTTTTTTAGGTTTAAAACTCAGGGACATAAATGCTAAACTGATGATGATTGCTATGGGGTCACATTACAGTGATGGTGCTGCTGTATCAGTATCGTGATGAATTGGTTGCTATGAATCACAACACACATATGTGATTGCAATAGGCTGATGACGGGTAACCTATATAGTTCATTTCAGCCGGATAGAAAATCGTTAGTCGAACAGTGACTACATCCTATCAGGTGCAGTCACTGTCTACCACCACTACTGTATTTACAAACTCTTAGGTTCCATGGCTGCCTGAATACAGAGTCTGTAGTAAATAGGAGAAGAAGATCAAGCTGTCTATGCACACCTTTAAGCTGAAGATACCTTTTTATTAAAGAAGACGTTACATGTGTAAACAGATAAAAAAAATCCTCACCTAAGACATTATAGAATATATTTTTATTATTTTAATTTATATTTAAACATCACATCATGGGGAAAACAAACTCCAACATACAAATAACATTTTTGCATAAAAAAAAATCAGAAAACATAAAAAA